CCAGAGTTCTGATCCCTGGGCCAAGACATAAGGAATTGGGGACAAGAGTTTCTGGAGAATTTCATAGTTTAGCAAGCAGTAGATAAACTTGGAATGAAAAATACTAGATTTTTCAGTTTCAAGGCATAGTTTACACATAATGACCCTCTTGGTGCATTTTTTTTATTTGACAAAAAAATTCAGTTAGCTAGTGCTAGGTACTGACAAGATGAATAAAACACAATACTTTTCTCAAATTGCTCAGTTTAATGGAGTGGCAGACATGCACTCAAACAATTAATGCATCCTGATAAAGAGTATAGGTAGCATAGGTAAGCCCAAAAAACTAGGTCATAGGAAAGTGTGTTAAGGGAACAACAAAACACTTTAGGTAGGTGTTAGGGAAGCCGTTTATTTGCTGGGGCTGACACTTGATGGAAAGTGGTCCTCCCTGTTGGTGATTGGGGCTGGGGTGGTCAGGCAGCGGGGGGGAAATTTTGAGATGTATAGAGGTATGACAGGTGTGGGTTATTTCAAACAGTGGAGCAAGGATACCTGAGGGAAGATCTGTAGGAACTTACCTGAGAAAATTGAAGGGTGACTTACACCAATAACTATTCACTCCTGACGCACAGTAGAATTATCTGTGGTACTTTTTAAAACATATCAGCTCATGCCTGGCCAGTACAGCTCAGTGGTTGAGTGTCAACCTATGAAACATGTGGTCATGATTCAATTCCCAATCAGGGAACATGCCCGGGTTGAGGGCTCCATCCCCAGTAGGGGGCATGTACGAGGCAGCCTATCAATGATTCTCTCTCATCATTGATGTTTCTCTTTCTCTCCCTTCCCTTCCTCTCTGAAATTAGTAAAAACATATTTTAAAAACACACACATACCAGCTCTAAAAAATAGTCTATTAAAAAACAAACAAACAAACAAAAACCCACACCCAGCTTTCTAGGTTCCAATCCAGAGCAACTAAACCAGTCTCTAAGGGTGGAGCCCAGACAGACAACAGTATTATTATCTTAAATTAAGTCCTTATGTATTTAGAGCAGTTTTAGGAAAATAGCAAACTTGAGAGGAAGGTGCAGAGATTTCCCATATATTCCTTGCCCCCCACCAACTGCAGCCTCCCCCATTATCAACATCCCTGACCAGAGTGGTGCATTTGTTACAGCTGATGACCTACATTGACATCATTAGCACCAAAGGCATAGTTTACTTTTTGATTCACTCTTGGAGTGTTGTATATCCTATGGGTTTGGACAAGTGTATAATGACGTGTCCATCATTATGGTATACAGAGTAGTTCACAGTCCTAAACACCCTCTGTACTCCCAACATTCATTCCCCCCCACCCCCCAACTTGCAGCAACCACTGATCTTGTTACCCTCCTCAGTTTTGCCTTATCCAGTATGTCATATAGTTGGACGCATGCAGTATGTAGCCTTTTCAAATTGGGTCCTTTCAGTTAGTAATGTGCATTTATGGTTCATTTGTGTCTTTTCATGACTTGATAGTGCATTACTTTTTAGTGTTAAACAATATGCCTTTGTCCGGGTGTACCTCAGTCCATTTATCCATTCAACTAATGAAGAACATAATGGTTCCAAAATTTGGCAATTATGAATAAGGATGATACAAATATCGTGTGCAAGCTTTTGTGTGGACATAAGTTTTCACAATATTGTGGGTTTTTTTTAAAAAATCTCTAGATGGTTCTAATGTGTAGCCAAGGTTGAGGCCCGTTGAGTTCAATTATAAAGGACTTCCTGTTCCATGTCATTCAACAGAACTATTTTGTGAAAAGCTTGTTTGCTGGCTAATGGTCCCATGTAATACTCCTCGGGACTATGCCTTTGTTGCCCATTTCAGAACCACAAACTGATCAGAGAGGAGGAATATTGGGGCTTAACTATTCTCATTAAATACAATTGTGCCATGCAAATTAAACAAAAGTCTCAATGTTGATAATAAAGAATTAGACCTTACACACTGACATAGAAGAATAACCATGCTATATTGCTGAAGTAAAAAAGTAATTTCTAGAAAAATGTCATGAATTATATATTTGTATCATACACATCTGTAAATTCATGGCCTAAATTACTGTAAGTGGTTACTCAAGGAGAAGGATAAACAAAAGAAGCTGACTAGCCTGTTAGGAAATTAATTTGCTGAAAGCCATTGGCTGAGTTTCAGCTGGCATTTTCCTGTGTGTGTCCATGGGGGAAGGGATTGGGGGAGGGTTGGGAGTGAAGGAGTGATGGTGAAACAGTACAGGCTCCTACTTTAAGCAGAGATGTTTCTCTCCTGCTGCCATCAGTGTGGCCCATGTTCTGCCCTTCTATGTACTGGGAAATGTGGGAGTTGAGCCAACTATCACCTACCATGGCCTGGCCAAATGGAAGGAAGCTGGAAACCATAAGACCCTCCCCCCTCTCCCAAGCAGAAGGCAACTTGTCTCTCAGTTTGAAACAAATTGATTATTTGAAGAATTATTTGGCTAATCTATAATAATAAAAGCATAATATGTCCTTCCGGATGACCTTCCAGACGAAGCCTGGGCTGTGAGGGAAGCCTGGTTCCCATGTGCCGGAGAGAAGCCTGGGTCCCGGGTGCCGGAGGGAAGCCAGTGCCAACAGCTGGGGGAAGGAAGGCCTACTCTTGCACAAATTTCATGCATCAGGCCTCTAGTTAATATATAAAACTTTTCTTTTAGAAAATGTATTGTAAAATTGTTTTTAAATTGTCCTCATCAAATAATGAAAATTAAAAAAAAAATATCATAAATGTTCACAACGGAGATTATCACCTTTTGGACCCCACTGGATTTTCTCAGTGTGTACCCATCACTCTCCATTTTATATTATGGCATTTATTTATTTATTTATTTATTTATTTATTTATTTATTTATTTTTATGGAAACCAACATTTTATTGAGCTCTCCTCACCCCTTAGAAATCTACTCCAGCAGATTCTCTCTTTGCTGTGTGCGTCACAGACATGGGGTGTGACCAGCAGGCCCCGACTGCCTGCTACATAACACACCCAAGAGGGGAAGGCTCCTTCTGGAGCCAAAAGAGCAGTTAACCATTAAATATCCCAGAAGTATAATTCATTTCTCTTACAAAAAAAAAAAAAAAAAAAAAAAAAAAAAAAAAAAAAAGTATGAAATCGCAGGAATGTCCCAGCATTCAGCCGAGACCGATTTGGCTCAATGGATAGAGCGTCGGCTTGGGGACTGAGGGGCCCGGGTTCGATTCCGGTCAAGGGCATGTGCCTTGGTTGTGGGCATATCCCCAGTGGGGGGTGTGCAGGAGGCAGCTCATCCATGACTCTCTCTCATCAATGTTTCTAGCTCTCTGTCTCTCTCCCTTCCTCTCTGTACAAAATCAATAAAATATATTTAAACAAAAAACAAAAAACCCGGGACCTTTCAGTCCGCAGGCTGACGCTCTATCCACTGAGCCAAACCGGTCTCGGCTCCCTTGGGGGGTTTAAGTAAAAGATGGTCCTCACTCTGGACAATTCCTCCAAAGGTTAATCTGTAGGCAAAGCTCTTTTTTTGGCAAATCTTTTTTTTTTGGTTTTTCTTTCTTCCTTTTTTTTTTTTTTTTAAAGGCTTTTATTGAGAAATCAGTTATACAGAGAGAAGTTTAACTTTTTTTTAAAAAAAAATTGATTTTAGAGAGAGAGGGAAGGAGTGGGAGGGAGAGAGAAACATTGATCTGCTGCCTGTACTCCATTGGGGATAAAGGCCACAACTTGGACATGTGCCCTGACTGGGAATTGAACCTTCTGACAGCAGTGTAGGAGACAACACTCAACCAATTGAGCCACACTGGCCAGGGTTACCTTTGTTCTCTTAATTGAAACACCATTTGGATTTCTGCCTGAATCAGAGCCTCCTAATTTTTAATTTATTTTTTTAATCTCAAAAAATTGTTGCCACTCACTATGAAAGGCCTTTTGTTTTTAGATTAACAAGTCATGAACATCCTGAAACAACTGCTACTTGGACTTTCTGTCTCTGTCATTTGCATACTGGAACTAGCCAATCCCTGTGAACCTAGCCAGCAATCATTCATTTGCATTTTGTGGTTTTTGCCTTTATGGACCCTGCCTTTCTGTGTTTTCTCCAAAGTGCAGTTTGAGTTGCTATATGAATCTATGTTTCTTGGATTACAATCCTTTGCTCAAATAAGTGCTTTTTGTTTTTTATTATGGTCTAAATCTCTTCTTTGGTTAACAGAACCATGACATTGAAGACTGGAAGTTGCACTATATTGATGGCTCAGATTCAGATATGGTATTGCTGGTTGTGGTGTAATTCTCTGAATGGTGAATAGCTTTAAAACTTGAACAACAGCCCTAACTGGTTTGGCTCAGTGGATAGAGCATTGGCCTGCATTCTAACTCTCTTCACTCTCCCTTCCTCTCTGTAAAAAATCAATTAAGCCGGGACCGGTTTGGCTCAATGGATAGAGTGTCGGCTTGGGGACTGAAGGGACCCGGGTTCGATTCCAGTCAAGGGCATGTGCCTTGGTTGCGGGCACATCCCCAGTAGGGGGTGTGCAAGAGGCAGCTGATCGATGACTCTCTCTCATCGATGTTTCTAGCTCTCTATCCCTTTCTCTTCCTCTCTGTACAAAATCAATAAAATATATTTTTTAAAAAATCAATTAAAAAATATCTACCTATCTATCTATATCTATATCTATATCTATATCTATATCTATATCTATATCTATATCTATATCTATATCTATATCTATATCTATATCTATATCTATATCTATATCCTTGAACAACATACAAAACTTGATAGCTGCATTCCTGAAAAATTCGGGGTGTATGGGCCTGACATAATAGTTGATAAATATTCAAGGAATAAATTAAAATCAAACATGTTTTCACATGTGATTGTAAAGCCCAAATTATAAGCATGTTTTTCATACGTGTGTATGTGTGTGTGTGTGTGTGTGTGTGTGCCCTTCAGCCTCTAAATACCTGCAGTGAGCCCATTATTGAAACAAGGAAAAGTAAGGCATTAATTTATCAAATTTCTCTTTAAGAAACATTGCCTTAATTGACAACCACCCTTGTAGAGTTGTTGATCTAACGACTAGGGTAAAGAGGAGGCGGGGACAACTCCCCTCCCCGCCCCCCAACCCCGCCCTTCCCTTTTCTCAGAAAGCAGGCGACTTCAGAGAAACCGGAAACTAAGGGACTGGGAAGTCCCGTTTTCTAACTTATAACAGCACTTTTTGCCCAGAGACCACTAACGAACACACCGGGCTCGAGTTTTGATTGGGCCGTTGAAAAACTAAAATAGCGAGTTAAAGGGGGAGCACCCCGGTGCCTTCTGCCACCCGGCTGGTGGGACTAAGTGCCGCGACTCCTCGCTCGAAGACTTACTTGAGCTCAGTTCTTCGCTGGGCACCGCTGCCAGCTTGGGCGCGGTCAAGGTGGGTACCTCCCCCGCGTCCTCCTCTCCCTCCGCATCTCTCTTCCTGCTGCTTCTTCCTGGCCCTGGGACTCCGGCCATCCCCGCCAGGTTCAGCCCATTCGGGATCCTTCGGGATCAGACAAGGAAGCCACGGAGAGGCCGGAATGGGTAGCTAACTGGGGAGGGGGAGAGGAACAGCACAAAATATTTAGGTTTTTGATGAGCCGCTGGGTGCGTGAGTGAGGTTGGGGGTGGTGGGCACTGCTTTCGGGGCTGCGCAGCCTGCTCCCCGAGGGTTCGCTTTCCCTGGGCGCACGAGGAGGGGGAGAGGCAGGTGCGTCCCGAAAGGCAAATACCTGAGTGGTTGAGAGTGTCAGCGTAAGAAGCATTCAAACCTGGTGTCAGCGTAAGAAGCATTCAAACCTGGTGCCAGCGTAAGAAGCATTCAAACCTGTAGAGAATTTTTGTTTGAGCCAAACTGCCAGCAATTGCTGAGAAGCAAAATCTCTACAAATTGAGAAAATGGTCCAGAGAATGGTAGTTTGGCATCTTGTTTTAGACATTATGATCAAAAGAGGAGGCATAAGTGGGTTACATGAAATCCATTGGTGATAGATTAGGGAGGTAGGGGAAAGCAGGTGGTGGTGGGAACCTCTGGGACTGGATTAAAAGTAAAATGATATTCACATCTTTACATAGGTGGGTAAGGACAGTTAACTGTCTGCAGTGAACGTGATCTCAGTAACAACGAGAGGATTTGTGGTCTCATGCCCAGTTGCATTGGCTGTGCCCTAAGAGGTCTGGAATCCCAGACCTTACCCTGACATTCCAAAAGTATGTTATGGAAGATGCAAAAAGACAATAGACAGGCTTAATGAAGGTAAAGATTGACTTTTGTCAGGGAAGATTCTAGCCTAGAACATGACTATCTGCCACAAACTGCTTTTAGTTAAAAAGTGTTAAATTTCAGACCATCCTATGTGGTTACTTTTGGCTGTTGAATTTGTAAGGCTGCCATGCAGGCCTTCCCTGGGCTTGTCAGGTTTACTATGTGGCCCCTTTTCATCCACAAGGGTAGTGATCCTGTGAGAGGCAGGTGTCCGTGGGAAAGTATTGCCTAGGTAAGTGTGTCAGTGCATCTGATGGAGCGCTGAGCACTGCACCCGCTTCTGGGCTCACCCCGTTTTCCTCTCGAGCTCCACACTTCTTCAACCAGGCTCTAAGATTTGTGTCTCAATCCAGATTTGTGTCAGCTGTTTTGCATAACATTTCTATGACAGCTTGTGTGTTTATTTTGGCAAGAGCCTCATTGAGGTATAATTCACAAACTATACAATTTACCTATATTGGTATATAATCCAGTGGGTTTTTAATATATTCACAATGTTGTGTAACCATCACTTCAATTTTATTGGTTTGTTTTTGTTTTTCAGAAAAAGAGGAAGGGGAAGAGAGAGAGAGAAACAGCCATGTGAGAGAAAAACATCGATTGGTTGCCTCCCATACACACCTGCAACCTTTTGGTGTATGGGAGGACACTCCAACCAACTGAGCCACCTAGCTAGGGCCCTTCACCTCAATTTTAGTACATTTACATCATCCCCCAAAGAATCCCTATATCCATTAGCAGTCACTCCCATTTCTCCCCATGGATTTGCCTATTATTGACATTTCATATAGATGGAAGCATACAGGAAGTGGTCTTTGTGATTGACTTGTCACTTAATATGAAGTTTTCAAAGGTCATCCATACTATAGCAAGTATCAGCACTTTATTCCTTTTTGTATTAAACAATTCCCCATTGTCTGGATATGCCACATTTTGCTTTTTCATTCATCAGTTAATGGACATTTGAGTTGTTTCCACTTTCTGATATCATGAATAATGCTGTTGTCAATATTCATATGCAAGTTTTCCATGTGAACCTACGCTTTCAATTCTCTTAGGTATAAACCTAGGAGTGGAATTGCTGGGCCATCTGGTAACTCTATGTTTAATATCTGAGGAACTTCCAAACTGCTTTCCAAAGCTGTCACATCATTTTACATTCCCATCAGCAGTGTATGGGAGTTCCAATTTTTCTGTATCCTTGCCAACACTTATTATCTTTTATATTATTGCCATCCTATTCACTGTGAAATGGCATCTGATTGTGGCTTTTATTTGCATTTTCTTAATGACTAATGATACATTATTTTAAAATTACAAAATAATTTATAGAGCTTTCATAAAGTTTTAAGAACTTTAACCTTCTAGGTCACGTAACCAAAAGCCACAGAGAGTAGACTCAAACCAAACTCTCTGTGATGGGTGCTTGAACTCCATCCCCTCTTTCCTGGAACAGAATCTGGGCTAAAACTCTTCAAAACTCCACTTGTGCCCCTTTTAGAGAATTATGGGAAAGATGAAGCTTTTGTGCATACACTTAAAAGTTCATGTCTTAATTGCTGTTAGAAACTCAAATATGCACAGGACTTTTTGGTCTCTCCATTTTTACAGTGTACCCTGGAATTCCTCCTAATGGATCTTGAGTGAAGTTGTGAGCTTTTCTTGGTGCTTATGATTGTGTGACTTGGCCTAATGATTGTATGCTTTTCTTTCTGTAAGGCATTTTGGATCATGTGTGCCCTTTTCCCTCCACCATCTGGACATGGAATAAGGAGGGACACAAAGCTTAGGCTTTGTTTCAATGTGTAACTATAAAAAGTGTTTGATATGCATGTTCTTTATATATCTATACATTTTATACCACTAACAATCTTACTTTAAATATTCATAAAGCTTTTTTTCTCCTTTTTCAGTTAAAAATTCAGTTTTATAAGTGGCTCCCAGAAGATTCACCCCTGCTCACCCCTGTGGGAGCACAGCAGTTGTGGAGGTGGAGCCAGGACCGGAACCAGAACCAGATAGACTCGAAAATCTGGACTTTAAATTCTTATGTAAGTCAGAGAGGGACTGATCACATCTGTGAGACACTGAGGACTTCTAACATTCACTGAAAACTGAGGACTGGGTCCAAAAAGCACAATGAGTGCAAGTACATGCGATGGTAGAGTGGCGAATTCTAGACAAGCTCGAGAATTTTGTACAGCTGGGGGTGGAGGCCCAGCTCCCGAGATGGTCTTTGAATCAAAACTGATAGAACTCGGAAAGAGTGAGGAAGTGGTTGACCTCACCTCTGACTCTCTAGAACCTGCAGTGATTGACCTAACTGACCATGACGCTGTTGTGATTATTGAGGAAAGGAGGAGACCAAGGAGGAACACAAGGCCATTGCAAGGACAAGCTGGCATCTGTGTGGTGAGCAGCGACAAGAAGGGGGTGATGAGAGACAGAGATGTATATGTGACCAACAGTGCTTCCCACAATGCCCTGGAAAAAGAAACACTACCTGGTTATATCCAGTGCCGGATTTGTATGGATGGGTACTTGGAGATGGAATTGAGTAGTCGACACATCTATTCTACAGCCTGTGGCCACATCTTCTGTAGTCAGTGCCTCTGCACTTTCCTTAGAAATACTAAAAATTGCCCAGTTTGTTTGAAAAAAATTGACCGCCGTCGGTACCACCGCATTTATATATAACGTGTGCTGTGTTGCTCAGGATAGACAACCCCCTGACTGAATTTTTCCATGTCCTTGTGCAGAAACTGTGGAGTTGTTGGTGTTCAATTCTCTGAGCTCCAAAAGCCTGATTTTAAAAATTATTCTCTGGAGTGCATGAAAACTCTTTTATTGTTCACAAATGACGAGACTGCTTTTTTATTCTTTTGGCTTCATGCTTGCAGGCCTGAACTTCTGTTGCTATAGTGAATCAGAGACAGGTGGTTGTCCTCATAGCAATTTTCCCTTTTTTTCTCATAGAAATCAATTTTTAACTGGTCACATGTGGGCATTTTGGATCATGTAAATAAGAGCAACATCCTAGATACGGGGGAGCAGGCAAATGGAAGGAAGCTGGGAGACTGACAACTCTGAAAACCAGAGCCACAAATATGAGTTTGGACTTTTATGAGATAAATAAATAAACTTCATTCTTGTTTAAGCAACCATTATATTGGGTCTTGTTTAGAGCAATCGAGCCCTTATTTTAATTAATGGACTAGGCAGGATGCTGTCTCTGGCTTTCTCTGGATTTCCTGATTCCACTGAATGGAAGGAAGTCAATCCTTCCTGTCCAACCAGCAGGGTGGAGTTGGGTATTAACCTGGGCAGGCACCAGGTCCTGCTGGGACTGGTGGTTCTCAAGGTCGGCCTGGGTGGTTGCCTAGGCACACTGAAATCTAGAGCTGTGGTTCTGTGCTCTCTGACCTGCCAAGCCAAAGAGGGGCTGCCTTCACCCTTGCTTTACAGGAATGCCTGCCTTCTACTGCGCTGATGAGCTGATCAACAAGATGGCCTGCTTCTCTGAACAAGCACATCACTGCCTCACCATCCCTACTGCTCCAGCAGCCTGCTAGGTCACAGCAGGCTAGGTCACAGGCCTTGGGAAGACCCCCCCCCCACACACACACACACACACTAGCTCTTGTTCCTTTTGCAGAGAATCACTTAGCACTTAGAATTGGAGAGGGTGTGATTTCCCTGGTGCTCTTTCCTTTTCCTTCAGAATGAAATGTGCAGTAAGGTTTGTTCCTTACAATGGTAGTAGCAGTGTTGCTTTCTTCCACGGAGGCTGCCTTGCCAATGGAGCAGTGCCCACCCCTGCATCATGTCTGTCTACTCACTGCAATCTCTGGAATGTCCTATACTCAGGACCTCAGTGCTTGACTCAGCACAGAAAATGCAAGATAAATGTGGTATACTCTCTTTGTATGCTCTGAAATGAAATGAGGAAGAAAAAGAACATGAAAATGAAAAATAATAGAAGAACGTTCTAAGTATTATCTTCTTACATTTCAATAGATCATCTTATGAATCTCACTTTGGAGAGTATTAGTTGCTCTGTGACATAGCACAGTATATCACATACTATACTTCTCTGTATATAAGACACTTCCATGTATAAGACACCCCCTACTTTTCCAACCCAAAATTAAGAAATCAATATTTTAAACATAAAACAGAACACATTTTTATTTAGTAATTACCACAGGTAATGTTTACATGCCAGTACTATGATATTATGCAGCATATCACTTTATTCAGCCTCTGTTGCAGCCCTACTCTCTTCATCATCATGTTTAGTTCCAAACATCAATTTCTTGAACTTCTATTGTATCACTGCTGTCTTCTGAGTCACTGTTTATATATATGAGACTATCCTCATAAACTGGTGGCATTTTCTGAGCTAACTTTATTTGTGTTCTCTTGGCCAACTCTTCCCTCCTCATGAAATTGCCTTTCCTGTAAAATCAACAATATTCATTTTGCTTGCAAACATTCTTGCCTGACATTGAATAAGCTTGGTTGACACACATAAGCCACTCTGGCGCTGCTCCATAATCCAAGTCTTAAGCCTCTGCTTCAAGTTTTCCCCTTTTGCTGGTTTTCCTTTTAAGGTCTTCTTCTTTTTTTGGCATCTTAAGGAGTTGTTCTTCCTGTTTTTTTCCACTGTCAGATCATATATCAGTCGGTGGAGGTCCAAATTGTCCCTCCGCAGCTCTATTTCCATGCTCTTTTGTATAGATGATTATATTCAGTTTGAATTTTGCAGAGTAAGACAAACACTAGTATTTATCTTTCTATTTTTATTTTATTTTTGACATCTTTATGGGCTCAGAATCACTGGCCCTCATTGCATCTGTGCACTCTCCACCTCAGTGACAATAAGCCTCGTGATTGGAGGAAGCCTGTTTGACAAGGTACGGGCAGCTATGCACCTCCCTCCCTCCTTGGCTGCCTTCCGTGTATAAGATGCCCCTCTATGATGCAGGGATGGGCACTGCTCCATTGGCAAGACAGTCTCCGTGGAAGAAAGCAACACTGCTACTACCATTGTAAGGAACAAACTTTACTGCACATTTCATTGAATGAAAAAATATGGCAGTTGACCAGTAATCAAAACACTTGAGGTGCCTATTAAACACAGATCCTGCTCCTGCATGTACTGTCCATGTGCCCGGGATAAAGAGCACATTCTCTCCAGTTTGGAAGCAGCTCTCAAATCTCCCTATTGTATTCTACTCTGCTCACTACAAATGTACCTCACCTGCCAAGTTCATGCAGACATTTCAGACTTTGATATTTGATTTAAGGGGAAAAATAGGATCTGACTCTAAAGAATTAAGATAAATTTTTTAGACAGCAAAATGCACTAGTGTCAGGGCATGTTCCCTTTTCCTGCGGAGTGACACGAAGAAGACACGTGGCCTCGGGTGTGGCTCTGCAGCATCACTAATCCTCTAAAAGGAGGGCAGAAGAGCTGCCAGTGGGTGTGATAGGATAGGCCATCAGATAACCACATCATTTGCCTTCCCTGCTGAGAATAGAGCCTTTAAAATACTAACTTCTCATTTTGTTGCTGAACAAGCCCAAGCTACAGAAATAGCAGCTTCTCTGTTCTTCAATAAGAGTAAAGGTGTTCCAGCTGGTGTTACTCAGTGGTTGAGCACTGACCTATGAACTTGGAGGTCATGGTTTGATTCCCTGTCAGGGTACATGCCCAGGTTGCAGGCTCAATCCCCAGTGAGGGGCATGCAGGAGGCAGCCGATCAATGATTTTCTCTCATCATTGATGTTTCTCTCTCTCTGGGAAAAAAAAAATAAAAATAAATAAATAAATAAATAAATATAGTAAGCCCTAACCAGTTTGGCTCAGTGGATGATGTGTTGGCCTGCGAACTGAGGGGTCCTAGGTTCAATTCCGGTCAAGGGCATGTGCCTTGGTTGCGGGCACATCCCCAGTGGGAGTTGTGCAGAACGCAGCTGACTGATGTTTCTCTCTTGTCGATGTTTCTAGCTCTCTATCCCTCTCCCTTCCTCTCTGTAAAAAATCAATAAAATATATTTTTAAAAAATATATATTAAATGAAGAGAGAAGGTGGCATGCCCTTCTTGGGGAACATCCACTCACATCTCTTTTTTGAGTAAATTTTCTTTCTCCTAAACTCCTAAGAATCCCCACGAGATTTGCAAGGGGGAGGGGGGAGAGGTTGGGCAGTGGCAGGTCATCTTGGGTTTACCCTCTGAACCTGTCTTTAAGGTCCCCTTTTTTTCTGACTTCCAAGTGAGCTAAAGAAGCCCCACCGTGGCTCGTTTCTTTCCTATAAGACTTCTAGACAGTCAAAGTTGCATGCCTAGGGTCCTGTTGCTTCTTCTATCATAGGCTCTTCCTTGTTTTACTGTCCCCAGCTTTAATAAATGTACTCTAAAAAAAAAAGTGCAATGCATTGCAGGGCATCGATCATTCATTAATTCATTCACTTACCTGGTATTTGTTAAATTTTGATGGTGTGGTAGGCCTGTGTAGTTAAAAAGATGAGTAAGATAATCTTTTTCTCTAAGAAGCTACCAGGTAGTAGGGAAGAGACATGAAAACAATAGTTATAACACAAATGAAAGAAATAATGCAGTGCAATAAAAGCTATGATAGAAATACTGCTAAGTGCTGCATAAAAGAAGTATAAAAGAGAAGTTTTTGTTTTTTGTAATTTCCTTGGAGTCAAGAAGATAAAAAAATTGAACTTTTAATTTATATTCAGCTGTGTTGGAGTCAATAAAGATTAACAGCTACTTATATCTCTTGTTTTAAGTTAGAAAGTTAATTTGAGGGTGAAGTGTCATAAACCATTTGCTATACAAATGTTAGTACAATAATAATAATAGCTATTACCATTTATTGGGTTCTCACTATGTGCCAACTCCTGTTAAGTACTTCACATATATAATTTCATTTGATCTTCACAATGATCCTATGAAGTAGGCATTATCATTTCTATTTTATATATGATACGACTGAGGCTTGGAAAAGAAAAGCAACTTTGGTTATTGACTTTGTCTCCCCCTCCACCGTTTATGTGGTAAAACCTGGTGTAGTTTCTTAAACGTAACTTTATCTATCCCCAACTTTGTTTTTAAATAATGAAATTAAAATTTTATATGTCCCCCTGTGAAATTTGGGACCACTTGCTATGTAGGTTTTGGGATCACAAATTTTAGAGATAGATGGGAAGTCTTGGGAATTCAGATTTCACAGGTGGAAGAAATCATTCCCGGAGGAGTTACATCTTAGCCAAGGTTAGGTAGTGCTCTGCTAGGTGACAGGCTTTTGTCTTCTAGGACAGTATTCTCTCTCCTTGGCTAAACGCTTTAGAATGTGCAGACTTTAGAATTTAATATAATCACATTTACTAAAAATTGCTAAACATTCTAGCCAACAACAAAATTATTCAAGATAAAACCAAATTAATTTTTTTTTTTAACTTAAGGACATAGTTTCTAGGTGATCATCAGCATTATCATAGTCACTTACTTGACAGAAATTTAATTCAATGAATGCCATGTACTATCAAAGTGGGCAAGAAACAGCACAACCCAGCAGTTCACAATTTAGTGAAGGGGAGATGTGCCATAAAAGATTAAAATAATTGTGTCCACGTATGTACACAGATCTAGGGTGTAAAGCAGTAATTATCAACAGGGGGTAGGTCTTACCTCCAAACTGTCAGCAGATATTTAGCAATGTCTGGGGACATTTTTGATTGTCACAAGTTAGGGGATTGTTACTGGTATCTAGTGAGCAGATGCTAAGCATCCCAACATTCACAGGATAACACCCCCCACCCCCCACAACAAACACTTAATCAGTCCAAACTATCAATAGGGCTGAAGTTGAGAAACCCTGGTATAGAGCCAGCAAAATCTTTTCTACAAGAAATAGGGCGAGGGTAAAGTTTGGGTGCTGGTTACAGCAGTTTAATAAAGAGATCATGATTGGATTCGGGGAAGGGTAATCTCACAGAAGGGACAGCATGTACAAGCCACAGAAGCATGGCATATTTTGGGCAACCCCAAACATAGGGGCGGGGGAGGGAAAGAGTTGTGGGAATTAAGCCTGGACAGCTGGGCAGGACTTAGATATTCAAGAAAATATACTGAGTTAGAGGAATTACTGTAAGAAAAGCTATTTGGTTCTATGATGGTCACTCAGGAGCACAGTCTAGCCATCTATCTTGAGCTAAAACTGATGAAGAAAGTTGTTTGAAATGAAGCTTTTCTCATTTTGCTTCCTTAGGGATTTTCTAGGCATTTGTTAATTTCTGAGTGTGAACTCTGAGAGATGGAAGAGCTCTCTATTAAAGCTACTTAGCTGGGGTCTCAATGCTGTGACGGGATCATGAGGGACAAAGTGGTTATTGCTCATGTATTAGGCTTATGGACAGATGATGATTATTTTTTTATTTTGTAGATCACCCTAGTTCAGAAATGGGGATATGTGAATCTTAAGATTGGACTGCCAACAAATAAATAAATAAATAAATAGATAGATAAATAAATAAATAAATAAATAAATATTAGATTGCCACCTGAAATCTAAATGAGTTGCTTTCCTCCCCCCCAACCCTTCCCCCCCCCCCCAAAAAAAAAATGTGGGCAGGTAGGCCATTCGAGTCAGGGTTTCTCTTTTTCTTAAGCTAATGATGATCAGAGCAACTGACAAACTGCCACGGAATCTGCCAGACCTCAGCCCGGCCTGGCCTCTTCTCTCCAGCTCCTGAGCTTTGTCCTCCTTCTGCCATGCTCTGAGTCCATTCTTAGCAAGCTTCCAGGTCCTGGTCTCCTGGCCACAGCCACCTGAGCCTCTGGGCTCTGGTTCCCATCTGCCTGTGCCCTGGTGGCCTGATGACCGAACGTAAATGGAGGTGAGTTACTCTTCTAACTCAGCTGGCTTTCTAGGTATAATTTGGAAAACCCAATCAGAAGGAAGTATGCATTTTAGAGCATGAAGAGATGTTTAGGGAAATATTTAACTTTGACAGCTTATATCTTCTATACTCCTCCAGGTCTTGAAATAACTGAGAATTTAGATAAGAGAGATTGTAGAAAAGTAATGAAACCTACCATAAACTTTTGAAAAAAATTTTTTAAGAAAAATTAAGTGCTATAAAGATTTACTTCCCTTATTTATGTCTCGCTTTGTTTTATATTGAAAAAGATTATTAAGTATAACTTGGTATTTTATATTTAAAGCAAAGTTGATTTTCAGAGGTTAAAGATTTTTAGTTGAATTTCTTTGATATCCATTCAAAGCTAAATAAAGGAAGTAATATTTTGAATTAACGGTTCTCTAGATAGATAAAATACAATGTTTGTTTATATAAGAAAGCTGGAAAAACTTGCTAAAACTTATCAACAAGAAATTTTAACACAAATCCTTATGATTTAACACAAATCCTCATTAGAGCTATCATTTCCATCCGTTTCCACTTCTTACAAGTTTGATTAAATGAATATTAATCATTAACATGAGGTTCTAATTTCCTCGGCTGGGATTTTCTCCTCCTCTTCTCTGTCCTTAACTGTTGGAACAGTTACAAGTATTATTTTAATAATTTCTAGAGAGAAAAAAAATACACTGTTGCCTATTCCTACCACACTCTGAAAAGCAAAACATGACCTAAAATATGCAACAAGGCCCTTAAAAAAGCAACAGGTCCCCTTAAATATTTTAGTATTCATGATTTCAAAAGTTCACAATCCAAAATTTCTCAGGAAAGATCCCCACAACTCTGGGGGAAATCAGGTATTTCTTCTACAGGTTTCCAAGGATTTCATTGCTCTACTTCTTGCCTTTTCTCTGCTCTATGAGAATGGCCAAGGTTAATGGGAGAAAGCAGGTGTGCTTCTTCAGAAGACGATTCCTGCAAGTCACAGGCTTTCTACGGACAAATATCAATCCTTGACTTGAATTTCCCTCCCTATGCCCTAAGGTTAAGCTTTCACTAAGGGGCTGGCAGTGGTGTGATTTCTTAAGGTTTCTAGGTAGAGAAATTTCAGAATCTTCTTTGGTTTCCAATTCTATTCCTCCCTCTAGAGAGCAGTGGGAAGTTGTTCTAGTTATTTTGCCTCACAAAGTTGGCCCATTTGATAAATTCAATTGCAGAAAACATTGATTGGTTCTCTGCTGACTCAAAGATTAGGATAATGGACTTTAGGGTCAAATAAATAGTTCAAATTCAGGCTCCTTCACTTAATTCCTGAGTGACCTTAGCAAGTTATGCAACCTCCTTAAGCTTTAATTTCTTTAAAAATGGCATAATAATACTTATCTCACAAGGATTTTTTTAAGTCCTTTGGCTTTATTTTTCTGGGAAAATTTTCTGGGAAAAAAGCATACATGTTTCTCTATGGTCCTGATGAAGATATCCTTTAAAATAATTTATGAAATAGTTTAATTCATGTCTCTTGATTATCGGGATTCAAGCAGTACTTTGTTATTTGTTTGATTTTATCTTCCTCACTGTCAGCCTTGATTAATTGGTTGAAAATTTCAGATCAGAAGAAGTAATTTATGAATATTTCCCCAATCCCTTAGAAACATAATCACAGAAATACGTTATACTACCTTCATCATAAATCATTGGAAAGTAGATGTGTTCATTCACTATTAAAAGGGCAAGGATCTGTGTCATAGAGGATTAATCTGTGTAAACTGGCTTCCACCAGTAAAGACATTTTCTGAAAATCACAGATGTCAGAAAAAGAAAAAAAACACAAAGGAAAATGACAGGTTTCTGGTCAAGATGGCGGTGTAGGTAAATGCTTCCCACAACTACTTCAAAATTACAACTCAACTACTGAACAACTTCCTGACTGGTCTGGCTCAGTGGATAGAGCATCAGCCTGCGGACTGAGGGGTCCCGGGTTTAATTCCGGTCAAGGGCATATACCTTGGTTGTACAGGCAGCTGATCAATGTTTCTCTCTCATTGATGTTTCTAACCCTCTATCCCTCTCCCTTCCTCTCTGTAAAAAATTAATAAAATATATATTTTAAAAATAAATAAAATAAACTACAGAACAACCATCTTTCTACCTGAAATCTAGCTGACAAAAGTCCTAAGGTAAGGATATAAAGACTAGTAGGAGGGGGGGAAACGCTGCAAGGGTTAATTGCACATCCATGTGTGATGGATAACGATCAGGAGGGATATCTGGGCTGTGGAGGTCCTCCCTGAGGAGCAAGGGGTCCCAGCCCCACACTAGGCCCCCAGCCCAGGGTTCCAGTGCCAGGAAGAGAAGTCCCCATAACTTTGGCTGTTAAAAACCAGCCTCCTGTGTTTGTTTCTGTGTATTAGGGCTGCTACATCTCCCAGGCTTGGCAGAGTGGCCTATTGTCGTAAGTGTCCTGTAGGGTCCAGTGGCACCGCCTCCCTGTTCACTCAAGCTGGGCATTCCAGGCATGTCCCCTCCCCCGACCCCCATATGGGCTGTGTACACTCTCCTGCTGTAGTTGAGCCTTAATTGCTGTTGGCTCAGTTGGTTGGAGCATTGTCCCAAATACCAAAATGTTGTGGGTTCAGTTCTTGGTCAGGGCACATTCCTAGTTTGTAGGTTTGATCCTCAGTTGGGTTATATATGGGAGGTAATTGATCAATGTTTCTTCTCTTCCCCCCCCCCCAGCCCCGCCCTCACCTCTCTCTCTTTTTCCTCTCTCTCAAAAACAATAAACATATCCTCAAGTAAGGATAAAAAAAAGAAATGTTATTACTCATTATTGAAATAGAACTTGTTGAAAATGGTACTTGATTTCTGTGGTCTTTTTTTTTGCAAAAATATCACAATACTAGGATAACCATGAAGAAAGCATCTAATGAATCCAAATTGAGAGACACTTTACAAAATATCTGGCCAATACTCCTCAAAACTGTCAAGGCTATCAAAAACAAAGTCTGAGAAACTGTTACAGCTCAGAGGAGCTTAAGCAGACAAGAGAACTGAAAAATGTAACGTGAAAGCTTGGATGAGATTCTGGAACAGAAAAAGGATATTATGGAAAAACAGCAAATCTGAATGAAGTATGGAGTTTAGGGAATAAGAAAAAAAAAAATGACATAGACCATTCTTGCTGTAGTAATGATCATGTGAAACAACATAACCTTTGTCCTTGGAGTTCCAGTGAAGCTTCTGAACTACACCTGTGCCCAAACTGCCGCTGTACTAGTATAAGACTGACAGGCAGGTCACAGACTAAATACACTCACTCCACACCAGATAACCAACAATAGTCTGAACCAGAAGGTTTGTTTGCCCTGAGTTTTGGGTTGTATTCAGTAGGAAAGGATGGTCTGAATAAACATATCTAATGTGACCATATCAAAGATGAGTAATACTCTACATATTTGTACAGGGTGGGGTAAAAGTTAAGTTTACAGTTGTGAGTATACAAAACAGTTTATTCTTTTATTAGTATTTATAATTATTGTGTTATTTTCACAAGAACAACTGTAAACCCACTTTTGGCCCACTATTAAAAAAGGGTGTTTGCTGGGAGTTTGCCACAATAGAAAGTCCTAAACATCTCAGAATTCAAGTACAAGGCCAGCCTGGTTTAATCTGATGATACAATGCCCTTTAGGATTCAGAGAGTGAATTTATAATGAAGGTAAATATCAACGCCATAAAACTGCTGTGAAATATAACGTTGTCTCAAACAAGCATTCTTTTGGCATTACTGAACCACTGATACAAGGCAAAGCAGGGTCAAATGGCGGAGAGTTATGATAGGACTTTATGAAAGTATGGAAAACAGCAACTGTCCAAATCACATGGGCTGAAGGAAGGAAACTAAGGCCTTGCTGAAACCACCACATCTCAAGCAGGTCTGTGTTATTTGTTTGATTTTATCTTCCTCACTAAATTTTTACATTTGGTGAAAGCAGGAACCAACTTTGTTGTTCACCTTTATATTTTCAGCTCCTGTTTTAAAGTTCACAAACTATCAGGCTTTAAATCTGCCAAACCTGTACCTTTTGTAAATCCTATGTTCTCTGCTTTCTTTGACGATCCATGAATTGGAACTGCAGTTACCATTTTTAAATTTCACGAATATTTAAGTGCCACTGCTAATGAAATGAAATCCTTGGCTGTCTCCTCTAGGTGGGGACTACTGGCTAGGATGAGCCACTAGGGCTGACTGCTGGGTCTGGAGCCTGTGGGCTGGAGCTATGAGAATTATTATTATTATTATTATTATTATTATTATTAAAATATATTTTATTGATTTTGTACAGAGAGGAAGGGAGAGAGATAGAGAGCTAGAAACATCGATGAGAGAGAGTCATCGATCAGCTGCCTCTTGCTCACCCCCTACTGGGGATATGCCCGCAACCAAGGTACATGCCCTTGACTGGAATCGAACCCGGGTGCATTCAGTCCCCAAGCCGACGCTCTATCCATTAAGCCAAACCGGTTTCGGCTGGACTGCTATAAGAATTAAATAAAATAATGTGCATGAACCATTTTTCACAGTGAATGCTCAGTAAATCTTAGCTAATATGGTTTAAATAATCCCTTATTTTATAGCAGAAGCCATATTCTTGAAAGTCAGGGAAATTGGCAAAACCTGGAGCAGCAAGATCAATATAAGCCATAAGAACAAGTAATAATGTGAAAATTAAGCACAGTTAATGTGCAAGATTCAGCTGTCAGTACACTTACTTAGGTTTTCAAAGATATATCTACCACAGTAGAAATAAAATGACTCCCAGCTCTGTATTCTCTTAAAGCAAAAAATTTAAAAATCTAAAAGAAGAAATAACAATCATGTAATATCAACAATCAATAACATTAAGTATATATTTTCATAAAACGAAAGTCACCCTTTTAAAGTGAACACTTCAGTGATTTTTAGCATTGTCACAAACTTGTACAACCATCACCACTATCTAATTCTAGAGCATTTCCATCACCTCAAAAAGAAGTTCCGTGCCATTAAAATCACTTCTCATTTCCCTCTTGCCCCAGCCCTAGAAACCACTAATTTACATTAAATAGATTTTAAAAACACATTCAATAAAGCTCCTAAATGGCATCTATTTCTAAAAGGTACTACATTCACTGAGATTAAAAATTGACTCTGCTAGGCAACCCTTCTCTCTATTTTATTTTATTGACTTCAGAGAGGAAGGGAGAGGGAGAGCGTGATAGAAACATCAATGATGAGAGAGAACCATTGATCAGCTGCCTCCTGCACGCCACTTTCTGGGGATGGAGCCTGCAACCCTGGCATATACCCTTGATTAGAGGAACCTTCAGTCCACAAGCTGATGTTCTATCCACTGAGCCAAACTAGCTAGGGCTAGGCAATCATTCTCTTAAAATCACCCTCAATTGGCCAGGTTCTCCCACAAGTTTTATCTTATACAGAATGCATCTGATTTTAAAGTTTTCAAGATAGCCTAATAGGCTTAAAATGCAATATATTTGGTACTTGGCTATTCACTGGTGAGTATGTATTTTTCTGAGTTTGATTTTCTAAGCACATATTGAGAGGGCGGAGAATAAACAGATTTTCTCCCTTCATTTCCACACAATTGCCCACTCAGTCTAGCACCAAAAAATGGAATAATCTCTTTTTAAAATGTTTTGTTTAAATGGAAGTTAAATGAGTTGTTAATATATAAAAGGATGATAGCCAAACCGGTTTGGCTCAATGGATAGAGTATCAGCCTGCGGACTGAAAGGTCCCAGGTTTGATTCCGGTCAAGGGCATGTACCTTGGTTGTGGGCACATCCCCAGTAGGGGGTGTACAGAAGGCAGCTGATCGATGTTCCTCTCTCGTTGATGTTTCTAACTCTCTATCTCTCTCCCTCTCTGTAAAAAAATCAATAAAATATATTTATTAAAAAAAGAATGGTAAATTAAAATTTTTGATGTGCAACAGAACCATGGGAAATAGGATTATAAATACGAGTTTGCAACATGTTATAGAGAATTCTGAATTTTGGGACCCTTTGAAAAAACTACAAAACATTTTGGTAGGCTGTGGGAAGCAACAGAAGATTGTGGAGGCAGAAGAGGGTTAGCAATGATTATTAACTGTACTTTACAACTGAGTAGTTGATGGGGAAGGAAGAAGAGAATGCCAAAGGTAATTTCTATTTCAAAACTGGGACATTGGTGGGGCAATAATATAGAAGTCAGGAGAAGGAACTGATTTATTAATAGATATGAGTTCTATTTCAGTCTTGTTCAACTTTTAAGGACCCAGTTGAGGACTCAGAGATACAGATTTGGGAGTCACCTCTCTGGAGGTTGTACATGAAGTACTGGGAATGAATTGCTCACTTGATAAGAAGAGAGAATAGAGTTAGAATAAAGCTGAAGACAGACCACAGTAATTGTTTACACTTAAAGTGAGAAGAGGAAGAGAAACCAGCCAAAGCAGGCTGAATTGGGACAGGACTGCATCACAAGACCAAAGAACTGATTTAGTAAGTCAAAGAGAATGCAGATTGTTGAGCAAACTTCAGAGCAAGCTTTAAAGCAGTTTCTATTGAGTGCTGAGGTAGAAGATCTGTTAGAAGAGCAGAGATTCTGACAAGTTTCCTTCAGTAAAGAGGAAAATAAACTTCCCTTCTTCCAACTCACATTCAAGGCATTGTGCATAGAAATCCAGGAAGAGCTGTGGATAACATTACACTGCCACTCTCCCCATTTGTTTCTTTATAATTCTTGTCTCTCCACCAACTGACTCTCTCCACCCTACATTTCTGTATTTATTCTGCCTTGTTTAAAATCAAGCTCCTAGATTGTGTTCTTATGATTCTCCATACCATAACCTTTCATGTCCCAAATTCTACCTCATGTCAATCTTTATTTATTTATTTTTTAAAAATATATTTTATTGATTTTTCACAGAGAGGAAGGGAGAAGGATAGAGAGCTAGAAACATCGATGAGATACAGCTGCCTCTTGCACCCCCCCCCCCCCCCCCCACCGGGGATGTGCCCACAATCAATGTACATGCCCTTGACTGGAATCGAATCTGGGACCTTTTAGACTGCAGACCTATGCTCTATCCACTGAGCCAAACTGGTTTAGGCATCATGTCAATCTTTAAATGACTGCTTTAACTGTTAATTTCCTGATTATTTCAGAGTTAAATTTATAAGAGGTTCTAGCTTGCCAAATTATTATTATTATTATTATTATTATTATTATTTGCATTAGATCACATCATGGAATGTTGAACAGTCAATGGGTAGGTCAGAAGCCCACCTGTATTTTAATCACCTATGGCCTGGGAGACGGAGTGGAGGCCACATAGTATATGTGTGCTTGACCTTTAGCATGGCCTATAGGAATGATAGCAGCTATGAGGAATGTATCTAGTAGATATTGGGGATGAATCTTAGTTTAAAAACCCAGGTTTGCCTGGCCGGTGTGGCTCAGTGATTGAATGTCAACCTGTGAACCAACAGGTCACAGTTCAATTCCCGGTCAGGGCACATGCCTGGCTTGCAGGCTCAATTCCCAGTAGGCGGTGTGCAGTAGGTCTAGGCTGGCAAGATCCAGGTTTGGGAAGATAAGCAGGCACACTTTAAATGATTCTCTCTCATCATTGAGGTTTCTGTCCCTCTCTACATCTCCCTTCCTCTCTCCTAAATCAATAAAAAACATATTAAAAAAAAAACACCACACAGGTTTACAAAGAATTGTGCATAAGCCTGTTCTATAACCCTGCTTAATATTGACATTGACTCCTCATTCCTGTAGGCTAGAGGGAAATTCAACTTGTTATTTTTAAGGATGGTTATACACACTGATTACTGCTGAAACTATGTTACCCAACCTGATCAAGATGGTTTATGGAGGACATATTGAAAAATCTCTATCCTCTCCCCACCTTCTCTAAATACATAAAAATATTGGATCAAGTGTCAAAAATAATTTAAGCTTTGGTTTTCATATAGTAAAAAACTGATTTTTTTTCTCTTTCTCTCAGAAATTCAACATTATTTAACTCACACTACAAGGAGAATGAAAAATAGACAAACTCTATTTGCAGTGTAACTATAGAGACATCTGTAAGCTTGGACTATAACCTATAAAGAGGGACTGCCCAATGTCAAAGTCAAATTGGAATGTGATAATAAACACCTAGTCATGCAGATATGATACAGAGTGTGTCCTAGCTCTCCAAAGAAAGTGCCTCAAGAGGCACAAACCCTAGTACACAACAATGAGAACAGGCAAGGCTGAAATATTGAATAGAAGCTTTCCTACACCTTCTATTTGAGATATTAGGGAAAGTGATGTTGAACAAGGGCAAATAAGCCATATTTGTGAGAAGAAGTCTGTTGGTGAGGAATAATGGAGAAGATAAATTCTACATCATTAGCAACCCTGCAGTGCTATCATGGGGGAAAGTAAGGGCTATAGAAACTCACATTGTTTCATAAAGAAAATAGCCTCAACTATGGCCCTGCCTCAACCTTCTTGCAAGTCTCTTGAAAATAGTGGATTCAGAGGAAACCAAGATGGAAGCCTAGGATAGACAGCTGAATGCAGTCTACCACAATAAATTTGAATTTAGAACTGGAAAACAGGGCTATGTTTCTCTGTTTGAATGGCTGGCTGAGAGGAGGCTCTACCATTTGGGAAGGAGAGAGAAGGAACACTGAACCTCAGGAACTGTGAAGATGTGGAGAACTGTGTTTGCAAAAAGGCAGCCACCCAACTTTGCTGCTGGCTTGCTTGCGGAGCGCAGAGAGGGCGGGCTGAGTTCACTGCTGGCTTACTCCCTGCATGCAGAGAGGGTGGACAGCTAATGTGTCGAGTCTTGCTTTCTTTTTCGGGAGGAAAACAGAACCACCCTATTGCTCTGATAGCCGGCCCCAGACAGGGAGAGGCCAGACTGTCAGACAGTGGGCAGAGATCTCTCGGAGGTGTGTGAAGCCAGCAGCCATTACTGTGGGACTCAGAAACCAGACCCTTGTAGGGAGGGGCTGACCAAAGCTTGTCTGTATCATCCGAGACTCCACCCCATCCAAGCGGAGCACAGAAGCCCTTCCAGTGGCTAGCTTTCTCATTCACTGTGAATAGGACTCTCCTAGGGAGAGACAGACAGGAATCCAAAGCTTGTCTGCGCCTATACAAAAGAGGTGTGCGCGCCTGCAACCAATATTGCGGGATTCACCAAAGCTTGGCTGTGCCACCCTGAGACTCCGCCCCATCCAAGCAGAATACAGAAACCCTCCTAGCTGAGACACTTCTGATCCTCACAGCCAATTGGCTTGGAGATCAATGCTTCTCAGTGATATCAACAATAAGCAAGGCTTAATAACAAGACTACACACACAACCCACAAAGGGCTACACCAAGACTGTCCACCTCAGGTAATTGGGAGGCTGACCCACTGAACCATATAGGACACCTTAGCACACAAAGCCACCCTACCAACTCAGGGAAGCTGTGAAAATGCCGAGACAAGGAAACAGATCACAAACAAAAGAAATGGAGGACAAGAAGCGACTGGATATAGAGTTCAAAACCACGCTTATAAGGTTTTTCAAGAATTTTCCTAGAAAAGGCCAATAAAATAAATGAGACCTATGAGGA